AACGTTGTGAATATGGTAATAAAGATGAGGACAACAGTCCGGACAATGTAAATAATAGTGTAAATAGTTACAATGCAATTCAGAATCTGTCTATGTTACTGAGATGAGCTCAGTAATATAGACAGATTCTGAAGAAGGCCGGAGTGTACAACAGCTGAAACGTTGTGAATAGGACGATAAAGATGAGGACAACTGTCCAAATATTGTAAATAGTTACAATACCTCATCTCAGAAATATAGACAAATCCTAAAGAAGGTATTTTAACACTTTACACTATCCGCATTGCTCAGACTATTGTCCTCATCTTTATTGTCATATTCACGACGTTTCGGCCGTTGTACACGCCGGCCTTCTTCCGAATATGTCTCCTGTCAATAAAAGCGACAAGGAAACCAGCAGTGGACAAGACTTGGTGTCTTGTGAAATTTCTCCCATGAGCATTTTCTATCCTAAAGTTGTTGTGCCTTCTGAGGTAGTGTCATTTTGTTACCTCTCGTCTACTTTCTCTTTCTCTGTCTTTTACCCGGGTAGCAGCTGGGGGAGCTATCGTTTAAGTGTTTTCCCTCAGCCGCAATACACCTTTACAGTAGTTTACAACAATTTTTTTTAAAATTCTCGAATACGGTCAATACACTATAGCCGTGTTCGTAGTTGATATTGACACGCGTTATGTTCTGTTTTTTATTTTATGTGTATATTACATTTCTATTTTGGATGTGTGCATTACGTTTGGAATTTGGTAAGATTTAATGTTGGATTGTATGGACCCTTATAGAACTATAGTCTGAGAGACACCATATGGATTATTTTATAAACAAAAACAAAATCTCTTGTTTGTAGACAAGAAAAAAACACGAGTACCTTATCATATATACATACATACATACATACATACATACATACATATATATATATATGAATTACTTAAAAATGAAAGTCATAACGTTTTAGTATTGACAAGATCCAATGAATTTATACCGGGGAGCGAAATGGCCATCAAAATGGGGTACAATTGAGTTTCATTTTTATATTATTCATTTCTATGCTGTATAATAAATGTATTGAGATCTCTTTTGTGGATCAGTTTTAAAAATTTATATTATTAGGATTCACTTGAATTACATATCTACGGATTTATATATAACTTCAATATACATATATATATGTTATCCATAGAGTCCATGTGCACTTTAAAACATTTATAACTTTATTTGTATTTGCCATAGAAATAATCTGTAAAAAATGTTATAAAGTTTAATGTACCTAGTTTTAAGTATAGCTAAAATAACTAATGTGATTTCAGGCATTACTGTAAATCAATCGGCAAATGTTTTCCGTGAACTGCAAAATCGTATTACCCTTTGTATTGCTAATGATGGAGGACATGTGGAAACTTAAATAAAATTTCAATAAAACCTTAAAAAAAATATAGATTTACTTCTTTCTAATCCTTTTTGCAAATTATTTCTGTCACAAATACTAATAAAGTTATAATTTTTTAAAGTACACACAAACTTTATGGACACCCGGTGTATTTGTATATATATATATATATATATATATATATATATATATATATCAATAATAATATTAATCTTATAAATATAAGAAAAAGTATACTCATCCAGAAAAACCTTAGTTTTTTTGGCTTGTAAATGAACAAACCAATACCCAAGGAAAAAATAAGGAATAAAAAATGAAAGAACTAAGAACATGTAATTGAGGCGAAAACAATCGTCCAGAATCCAAGATCAGAGTCCAAAGAAAAAAAAACCTCCAACACAAGTAAAACAAAAATAACTAAGCAAAGTGCTCAATGCACTAAGTAGAGAAAATGTCTCTCTCTCTCTCTCTCTCTCTCTCTCTCTATATATATATATATATATATATATATATATATATATATATATATATATATATATATATATCTCGGTATTAATCCGTTGGTATAATCCAGGTGAGTTCTATTAACACAACATAGAATTTGAAATATGTTAAAACTGACTCACAATAAGTGCTCAATGTTTATTTTCATTAAACAGAGAAAATTTTCTTTACAATTGGAATTAAGATACCTTTAGAAAATATTTATTTTCACCTATGACTTTTAATTTTAAAATTCGCAGGATTTTTCTACCTCCATAATATGATTCCAGTAACGATGCCTTTATCTTACCCACCCCTTACCTCTCAATAGGTCTCCAATAACACACCCTCTCTCTTTCTTACTCGAAATAAACAGTACACTACAAGCCGATATCAGAAACAGTTTGAAAATTCCTGCGAATTTTAAAATTAAAATTCGTAAGTGAAAATGGTTATTTACTAAAAGTATTGTCATTCCAAGTGTAAAGAGCATATATATATATATGTGTGTGTGTAAGAGAGAGTAAAAATTTCAGATACAGAATATCAGTAAAAGGACAATATGAATAACAACAAAAGCGAAACTTATCTTAGCTGACGCTTTTCGTCCTTTGAGGGACTTTATCAAAGCAAATGCATAATAACTGCATTGTTTCTTTCCAGCTCAAGTGACATCTGACTGTCCAAAGAAAACTTCAAATGTAACTAGTAGCGACTTCTCTTGAAAATGAACACAAATTTGGCAACGTGGTTTATTCAAATACCTGCAGAAGAAGGGTTTAGCTCCCAAGGCCCTTCATGCTGACAAGGTTGTTACATTAGAAGTTAAGACTCCAGCTTTATCGGCAGTGCAAATTTGGTCAGCTGAATTTAAATATGGGGAGGGAGAGTTTTGAAGATGACGCAAGGTCTGGACGTCCTGCAACTGTCACCATCAAGAAAAACATTGATTGTGTTCAACATATGGTGATATATGAAAGGCCAATACTATTATCATATTCCGCGAGAGAATTTACAAGATCTTGTCACAATGAAATTGGCATGACGAATTTTTCTGCTCGATGGGTGACACGCCTCCTGAGACACAATCAAAAGCGTACCAAAATGATGACATCACGGAAAAATCTAACATTGTTTGAGGCAGATTCATCTGGGTGTCTTAAACATGTCCGAATCCAGGTTGAGTGTGGGACAGACTCCCAAGGAGATGTTACCTCGATCACTACACTCTTAAACTGTTCAAGCCTAGATTTAACAGTTATTTTACGTTCCTATCCATATAAACTACCTCTTAACGTAACCCTTTATCTCGAGTTGCTCTTGGGTTTAACCTTGTTAACCTTACCGTAAAAAAAATTCTACCAATTTAACACTGGATTTAATCTCTATGGAAGGTATCAAATTTTTTTTCGTATTTTTTTTCGTATTGAATCATTAATGTCGTCGATGAGTACGTTCTAAAATATTTCTGGAAATTATCCATGTTCTGTTAGTGTAACGTTACAAGGTAACGTATTTGTTACGTTACAAGATAATGTGTTTGTTATGTTACATGGTGACGTTTATTTCCAAAAGACGCTGACGTTTCCTGTACTAATATATGGTGGCGCGTTGATGCCAAAAAAAAACCCCAAAAAACAAAACAATATTTTTAACCATCATTTCCAAAGTAAGGTTCACATCAGAAAGTCCTTTCTAATATTTAGAGAGATTTACTTGACCCCCAACTGAGTCAGGTTGTGACATAAGGTCATTTTTTAACGTGGCGACTCGAGTGTTTTCACTCGGGCCGCTGGTCCAAGCTGATCATAACTTGTCCAAGCTGGTCAGAGCTGGTCCATAGCTTGTCATAGCTGTGATAACACCAGCACAGGGACAGATCCCTACACCAGGTATGTAGCCCTTTTTAATATTAATAAGACAAAGATTTTTGATAAAAATTTTTATTACGATTTAGGCACTTTTTTTTTCATTAATGTATCCACTTTTTAGAGAATTTTCGAAGGTACCTCGTTAAAAATATCCGACGCCATCTTAGAATGTTTACTTACTGGTTAATTTAATATTTTTTCTAAATCTATCTACGAGGAGTACAACTAGTACGCAAGGGGTTACAGAGAGTATAAGCAGAGGAAAATACTGGGTATGGGGGGGGAGGATAGGGGAAAGTATAAATAGAAGAACGAAGATCAAGGCATCAGAAGATGACGATTGAGATTACATTTAATTTTTTTTTAAATTGTTGTTATCGCGGAAGCAAGCAAGAATAAGGGAGTTCCATTATCGGGAAGTTTTTTTTTGTTTTTTTTTAAGCATTTCACCTCAAGCAAGGCGGGTGTGCCACTAGTACGCAAGGGGTTACAGAGAGTGTAAATAAGGGGAACATATTGTGTATAGGGGGGGATTGTGGAAAGGATAGAAAAGAACGAAGATCAAGGCATCAGAAGATGACGATTGACCTTACATTTAAACTTTTGAAAAATGTTGTTACCGAGAAAGCAAGTAAGGGAAAGGGATTTCTACTATCAGGAAGTGTGAGAGAAGAAGCTTTTGGACAAGAAGAAGCGGTTCCATTTAACTATTTCAATATTAAAAGGGTGGGACCTATATGCCAACCTAGTAGCACGTTTAAATTCATGGAGTCAGGGCACCAGGGGAAATAGCTTGTCAGAGCAGTTCCCATGAAAATATTTACAAAAAAGACAGAGGAAAGTCACATCATGTCTGTGGAAAAGTGAGGTGCAAAGTCAGGACCGGTTACATTGCAGGTATGGCAACAGTATTCAAATTGCAAACAATTTTATAACCTTGAAAGTAAATACAATTTATACTCATTGTTATAAAATCTAACCGACGAATATTCTAGAAAAGATTTGTCAACAACTATATGTGCGTGTGCGCATGCGTGTACAGACTCGCTAGTCTGCGTCAATATATGCGTTCGTGAGGTCCGCCATTTTGTCGTCAGCTTCTCACAACCACCCGAGTAAGAGACATAATCATGTTGTCCGCCAAAAATGAACCATTCCCATGCACTCCTTACCCTTCTTTCTTTTCTTTAGCCTTACTCTCCTTCATCTCCACCACCCCCTCGTTCGTCTACTAGCATGTCTGTTTATCTGTCTCTCTTTCTCTTTCTCCGCCCTGTCTGTCTCTCTGCCATGGCATTTCCCGCCCGGGAGGACATTGGTGTTGTCGCGGTCATTGCTGCTACTGTTAATGGTGGTGGTAGTAATGGCGGTAACAGGCACCCAATTAACGGACAAACATCAGCCATCACCCTCCTCACCAAAGACTAGTCAGTAAAGTTATATTTGTACAACAGCTAGGGTGGGTGAAAGGTAGAACGGACAGTGGGGAGAAATTCTTGGAAAGAGAGGAGGTACTGGGGAAGGGGAGAAAATAGACGACAATCCCCATTCCCCATCGCTACTTCTTTTTTCCCGCCTTCTTCGGAAGAATCTTTACTACTTATAAGCTGGAGACCCGGATGTCATACTGGGTGACAGAATGGAGAACCTGCTTAACTACGTACCCACCAGCTTTTGTTGTTCATGGCTCTGCTAAATAATAATAATAATAATAATAATAATAATAATAATAATAATAATAATACCAAGTTGGAGAAAAGCCGGAGGTAAGAAAAATAGAAAAAAGCGGGAAAGACCAAATGCGAGAGAAATGGAAGTCGAGGATGGTTAAAAGGAAGGAGGAAGGGTTGAGGAATTAAAGCATTGTAAAAGAGAAGAGAGGGAGAATGAAAAAGAAGAAGTTGTGAAAGAAGGAAAGAGAGTTATTAGAAAAAAATGGATATGATTAATTATGGAGTTCTTAAAAAAAAAAAAAAAAGAATGATGAATTATGAAAAGCAATGGAGGAGCGATAAAATGAAAAGAAAAAAAAAAAAAAAGAAAAGAAAAGATAGGGAAAGAAGAAGAATGAGAAAAAAAGAAGAAGTAAAAAGTTTAGTGAAAATGGAAGAAGTTTCCTTGCGATAAATTAGTAAAAAAAAAAAAAGAAATGAAAAAAAAAGATATCTTGGAAAAGAGTGTGGAAGATTTTAAAAAAACTTCTCAAAGGAAAAGTCATCTATGTCATGATAAAGGATTCCTTAAAATATAATTTTTGAAAAAGCCATGACTTTGTGGGAAATAAGTGGTTTTCGTCATTGTCTCCATGGGAAGTAGATTCATCTTTTTCAGTCCTTTAAATCATGGAATTCCTTTTTCTTAGGTCATTTGAAAATTACTTCATAAACTAAAAAAAAAAAAAATTTGAATGAAATTCCAATGATATCCCTTTGGAAAGATATTGGCTCAGTTTCCTTTTCCTTTGATTATATTAGATTTGAATAACAACTTCTTGGGAAAGATAGTCGATGGTTTCATGTTGACTTCTCCATTGTTTTGAATTCAGAGTAGTCATCTATGTCATGTCCCTTCAGGATGGATGTGATCATGGCTCTCCACAGATTTTTTTCTGAATTATCTGTGAATTGCCATCTCCTTGTTGGGAAAAAATAGTGAATGTTTCAGGATGGATTTTATTCTTGCCTTTTCCATGTGAATTTTGAATTCAGGAAGTAGTCATTTTTTGAATTCAAGATCATCCATGTCCCTTCAGGATGTCAAGATCATGGCTCTCCACAGATTCCTTTTTCTTTATTATTTCTGTGAATTGCCATGACTTCTTGGGAAAGATAGTGGAGTGGTTTCCCGTTTGCCTTCTCCATGGATTTTTTGAATTCAGATTTAGTCATCTATTCCATTTTCCTTCAGGATGTGAATTGATCATGGCTCTCCACAGATAGTGGAGTTTTTTTTTTTTCTCCATAGTTTGAATTCTTGTGCCATGTGGATTGTTTCCCTTCTCCATTGTTTTGACTTCTCCTTTTTGGGAAATCAGTGGAGTGGTTTTCCATTGCCTTCTCCATGGTTTTGAATTCAGGATGGATGTCCCTTCAGGATGTGGTGATCATCTCACAGATTCCTTTTTCTTTATTATCTGTGAATTGCCATGACTTCTTGGGAAAGATAGTGATGTGGTTTCTCCATTCCTTTCCCTTCTCCATTGTTTTGAATTCCTTTAGTCATCTATGAATTGTCCCTTCAGGATGTAGGTGATCATGGCTCTCCACAGATTTCTTTTTCTTTATTATCTGTAGAATTGCCATGACTTCTTGGGAAAGATAGTGGAGTGGTTTCCTGTTGCCTTCCATTGTTTTGAATTCAGAGTGATCATCTATGCCATGTCCCTTCAGGATGTAGGTGATCATGGCTCTCCACAGATTTCTTTTTCTTTATTATCTGTGAATTGCCATGACTTCTTGGGAAAAAGATAGTCGATGTTTTCCTGTTGCCTTCTCCATAGTTTTGAATTCAGAGTAGTCATCTATGCCATGTCCTTCAGGATGTAGGTGATCATGGCTCTCCACAGAATTCTTTTTTTCTTTATTATCTGTGAATTGCCATGACTTCTTGGGAAAGATAGTGGAGTGGTTTTCCATTGCCTTTCCTCCATGGTTTTGAATTCAGAGTAGTCATCTATGCCATGTCCCTTCAGGATGTAGGTGATCATGGCTCTCCACAGATTCCTTTTTCTTTATTATCTGTGAATTGCCATGACTTCTTGGGAAAGATAGTGGAGTAGTTTTCTTTTTATCTTTGCCTTCTCCATGATTTTGAATTCAGATTTAGTCATCTATGCCATGTCCCTTCAGGATGTAGGTGATCATGGCTCTCCACAGATTACCTTTTCTTTATTATCTGTGAATTGCCATGACTTCTTGGGAAAGATAGTGGAGTCTTTTTTCTTTTGCCTTTCCATGGTTTTGAATTCAGAGTAGTCATCTTTGCCATGTCCCTTCAGGATGTAGGTGATCATGGCTCTCCACAGATTCCTTTTTCTTTATTATCTGTGAATTGCCATGACTTCTTGGGAAAGATAGTGGAGTGGTTTTTCATTGCCTTCTCCATGGATTTTGAATTCAGAGTAGTCATCTATGCCATGTCCCTTCAGGATGTGGTGATCATGGCTCTCCACAGGTTTTTCTTTTTTCTTTATTATCTGTGAATTGCCATGAATTGCCATGACTTCTTGGGAAAGATAGTGGATTGGTTTCCTTTGCCTTCTCCAAATGGTTTTGAATTAAGAGTAATCATCTATGATAAAATGAAAATCAGGATGTAAACATCCATTGTTTGATCAAGTCATCTCTCCACAGATTCCTCCACAGATTTTTTCTTTATTATCTGTGAATTGCCATGACTTCTTGGGAAAGATAGTGGAGTGGTTTTCCTTTGCCTTCTCCATGGTTTTGAATTCAGAGTAGTCATCTATGCCATGTCCCTTCAGGATGTAGGTGATCATGGCTCTCCAGATTCCTTTTTTCTTTATTATCTGTGAATTGCCATGACTTCTTGGGAAAGATAGTGGAGTGGTTTCCTGTTGCCTTCTCCATGGTTTTTGAATTCAGAAAGTCATCTTTGCCATGTCCCTTCAGGATGTAGGTGATCATTTCCACAGATTCCCTTTTCTTTATTATCTGTGAATTGCCATGACTTCTTGGGAAAAACAATGTTCTTGGTTTCCTTTGCCTTCTCCATGGTTCACAGGGGAATGCCATGTCCCTTCAGGATGTAGGTGATCATGGCTCTCCAAAGATTCCTTTTTTTTTTATTATCTGTGAATTGCCATGACTTCTTGGGAAAGATAGTGGAGTGGTTTCCCTTATTCTTCTCCATGGTTTTGAATTCTTTATCATCTATGCCATGTCCCTTGGAGGATGATAGGTGATCAAGCTCTGGCTTTTTTCCAAATTCCTTTTTTTTTATTATCTGTGAATTGCCATGACTTCTTGGGAAAGATAGTGGAGTGGTTCCCTTTGCCTTCTCCATGGTTTTGAATTCAGATTAGTCATCTATGCCATGTCCCTTCAGGATGGAGGTGATCATGGCTCTCCACAGATTCTTTTTTTTTTCTTTATTATCTGTGAATTGCCATGACTTCTTGGAAAAGATAGTGGAGTGGTTTCCCCCATTGCCTTTCTCCATGGTTCCTTTTTTTATTCATCTATGCCATGTCCCTTCAGGATGTAGGTGATCATGGCTCCACAGATTCCTTTTCTTTTATTATCTGTGAATTGCCATGACTTTCTTGGGAAAGATAGTGGAGTTTTTCTTGTTTCTTCTCCACAGTTTTTGAATTTTTTTTAAACATCTTCTTTTTTTCAGGATGTAGGTGATCAATCACATTTCCTTTTCTTTATTATAACCAAATGATTGCCATGGTTCCCTTGGGAAAGATAGTGGAGTAGTTTCCTGCCTTCTCCATTCACAATTTTAATTTTCTTTATTATATGAATGCCATGACTCCTTGGGAAGGATGTAGTGGTTTCATGGTTCTCCACAGATCTTTTTCTTTATTATCTATGAATTGCCATGACTTCTTGGGAAAGATATTGGAGTGGAATCCCTTTCTCCTTCTTTTTGAATTTTGAATTCAGATTCTATTTTCATCTCATGCCATGAAGGATGGTGGTGATCATGGCTCTCCACAAAATTCCTTTTTCTTTATTATCTTTGAATTGCCAGGACCTCTTGGGAAGGATACTAGACTGGTTTCCCCATTGCCTTCTCCATGGTTTTGAATTCAGTAGTAGTCATCTTGCCATGTCCCTAGGAAGGATGTAGGTGATCATGGCTTCTCCAACAATTTTTTTTCTTTATTATCTGTGAATTGCCATGACTTCTTGGGAAAGATAGTGGAGTGGTTTCCGTTGCCTTCTCCAAGTTTTGAATTCAGAGTAGTCATCTATTGCCATGTCCCTTCAGGATTTAAAATACGTAGTGATCATGGCTCTCCACCAATGTTTTTTCTTTTATTTATCTGTGAATTGCCATGAGTCATTTGGGAAAGAAAGTGGAGGAGTGGTTAAATTTTGCCTTATTCCATGATTTTGAATTTTTTTATTATCTTGAATGCCATGTCCCTCTCAGGAGATCAGTGGAGTGATCAAATTGCCTCTCCACAGATTTTTTTCTTTATTATCTGTGAATTGCCCACTTCTTGGGAAAGATAGTGCTTTGGTTTTCCCTTTGCCTTTCCATGGTTTTGAATAATAGATTAGTCATCTATGCCATGTCCCTTCAGGACATAGGTGATCATGGCTCCCTCTAGATTTCCCAGTCAATTCTTTTATCTATTGAGTGTTGTCCTCCTCCTCCTCCTCTTGTGGCAGTTTTTGGGATTGCCATGACTTCTTGGGAAAGATATCTAAATGGAGTGGTTTCCCTTTGTT